ATATATATATATATATATATATATATATAAATATATATATATATATATATATATATATATATATATATATATATATATATATATTTATACATATATATACATATACATACATATATATTAGTCGAGATTGGAAAGCCCTTTTTCTTTCTTGGAACATTAGAATTTGATTCTCCAGAGATATTGAATATTTAGAGTAAGACTTTTAATCAAAACAACCTTATAAAATAATTCTCACAAATTTGCCAATAACTGTTTTAACTTAAACTTCATTTCACTTCATTAAAACGAATACTTGAAACTGTTATCAATTTAGTGGATAGGCAATTTTTTGTTAATTTTCGACACTCCTAAAAATGGTAACTCAACTTTAAACGTGGGTATTTTTGTCAAAATTGCATCACAATGCACATGGTAAATATTAGAATTTAAGTTAGACATTACTGAATGCAATACATCTTGTTTAAGGATAGTTTTTAAGATATACATTTATACAAGACAAACTTGATTGATGTTTGAAATATTACTCACGTTTTCTGATACCACGCCCAAGAGATTTTTCTGGAGATACTCTTCTTCTCTCAACATACTTCCATGATCCTTGTGTTTTTCTACTCTTTGGGGACCCTGCAATCACAAAAAAGGAACTAAATCATTTTGTATCATTTTAATAGTTATGAATTTCAAATTCGGGTAGAAGCTAGCAGCGCAGCTTAGTATCATTTTATTGTTCCAAAATTCAGCACGATGAAGTGATTTGGTTCTAAAACAATTAAGTCTTACCTTTTTGGGGAGTTGTTGGAGCAATGTGACGAAGAAAATTTGATGCTTTGGCGCGACCTGAACACGAGAAAATGTGTTGATAAGTACAGTAAATATTTGAGAATTAAGTGCAAGCAGCAAGAGCGTAAGAACATCAGTTGAATTACCACAATAGTTTGAATCGTGGTTATTTTACTATGCGAAAAATCAAATGGTCCCATAATTTTTACTGCATGTTCCATTGAAATGAAGGGACTATTTAACTATAAGGCTTGACAGCCAATTATTTCGAAGGGGAGAGCCGCAGCAAGCCAACATCTTATACCTTTAACAGTATCCCTCATGGCGTAGTGTCCTTCTGCTGTTAAAGTTGAGTGTGACATCTGTCGAGCAAGCTCGTCTTTTGATGGTCCACTCGAACCGCCAGAATCAGCAAGCTGCCGATGACGAGACACTGCTGATTTCCTGATTCGCTTCCCAGTAACCCCTGAATAGATGGATCCAGTAATTTTGCAACTTTCGTGATTCTGTTGGAAATTTGGGACGAAGGGATATAGGATTTCCATTTGTTGTCAAAAAGAAAAGTGGCTCCTTCTCCTTCTTGTTCTTTCGCTGTAAAAAGGAATGGTGATTGGCTACGGTTGGTCGGAGCTTCTCTAAGTAAATCCGAGCACATTTGTAGGTACGATTATCCCAGGATAGGCTTGCTGGTCCTGTACCTAAAAGAGATTGTCAAAAATAGATTTTGTATTATAAAGTTGAAAGAGAACTGGGCTATCACATTAACACTCTGCACATCTTCAAGTATGCATACATGTACCATTTCGTATAAAATAGTACTTTAAAACTTGATTTTCTGTATGCAGAATAAAAAAAAAAATCATTCATATTTCACAAAATTCACCGTACCTGCATGCAGTCTTATGGCGCTTTGTTAAAGTGACAAACTGTTTAACCCCTGTGCTATCATCCCATTCTCCAGCGTGAAACTCGTCAACGGTCAAATTGCAAACGGCACCAGGTCGTTGAGCATTCTGTACCAATAACATTGTCATCAAATAATCTCGGAGTTCAACAAACTCTGCGCCAGGATCATCTAGTTCTTCAAATCGATTCTCGTATTTTACATGTACAGGCGAATTGAATAAGTTCCAAATTTGGGTGCTTACGTAAACTAAAATCTTCACGATGAACTTCTTCAAGTGGCTCACCATGTTGCTTTTTTTTTCTCCACAGAGTGGGCATTCTCGTTTCACCTTGGCCTGCAAAAAATATAATACACTATTTTACGAGTATGCATAGTTTATATTTGTCTTCAGATTTTAGTTATTTCTTTCCATTCAGTTTTCACATGAAAGCAGCAAGTATGCGCAATATTTTTTACAACTAATCAACACGTTGCTTTTGTTATATGGCAAGCATTTGTTTTGATGAATGGCGTGGTGAATGAAAATTTCTTATCAGATTCTTGATTCCATTCCAGTATAAGCGGGCTGGGAGTTTATATGAATTTCTTCATCCCGCTTATGCATGATTTTCATCCCGCATCTCCGTTTACTCACCTGGATGTAACCAAGCGGGGCCTGGGCCGTCCTCTTCCCCATATCCATTATTAAGTAATTATATATCGATTATTAAGGAATTTTACCATCATCTTTAATCAATAGAACGCAAAAACTGCAACAGCTGATAAACCTCATGTAGTTAATTTGAAATAAATTAATGCATAAAGGATTAAAAGGATATATTAGAGCACGATATTTTGCATTTTTGCTGACCAAATTGTTAACTCGATTTCTGAACTGGAACTCATAACCCGATTTCACCAGCTCGAACTTATAAAATAGATAGACCCTAAATTTTACAATGTTTTTACTGTCAAAGCAGTCAAAAATAGTTGTATTTTGAACATAGAGCTGCAAATTTTATTTGCAGATGGCCAGGACTTCCAGGAGGAATATGACATATAATTAATACAAAATACCTTGGTTTTTTGTCAGGGCAAAGCTTGATAAAAGTTATACAAGTCTCAGCTCCTACCTCAGCAGTGTCACTGTCGTCATCATCATGATCATCATGGCCTCCTAAAACAAAATAGTATGATTACAGCTATTTTATGTGATACGCGACCACCTCGCGCAAAAAGGTTGATAGCAATAGTTGCTTTTGACATTTAGGCAAAGTCCGCCGAATAGACCTTACCATTTACTGACGTTTGACCCAATAGCCTCGTTTTCGTGTCAGGTATTTACTCGTGTTTCGTGCACAATAGGGTTAGGAAATTACTTGTTATTGAGCTTAAGATCAACCAGGGACTATAAAACGTGAAGGAAACATGGGAATATAACTTCATGTGCGCCTGTCATGCCCAAACTAGCAAACACGAAAATGAGGCCATTGGGTCAAAAGTGAATACGCGGTAAGGTCTATTCGATCACGACTTACGAATTTTATACCAATTATACGAGATGACTCATTACGTATAATTATAAAATATCGAATTTGGTGGGACGCTCACGCCAGCAGACGCGTGTCCTATCTGAAATTCGTGATGTTACGAATACAAAGTTTTACAGCGTTTTTCTTCCATTTTCCTATATTTTTCGCATTCAAGATGATATAGTGAGATTCAAAATGGTTTCGTTGTCTTTTAAACCAGTCTGTACCATGGCAAAGTATTCGAGGTAGATGCTGTTCGTCTTTGTTTCAGCTTTTTTAGTTTCATAGTCACGAAATTTGTGCCACAAAAATCACTGTTGATATCATTGAAATTTGTGACACGTATTTTACAGTCTAATGCTTGATACGTTCCCTGAGAATGACCAACACTATTTAGGCATTCCATCGTAGAGTGGCATGATTATACTAAAATAATCAGCTGTATTATTGCTAAACATGGAATTATTTTGGATTTCG